TACAAACACCAGTCCTAAGTAAGCATGGACATTTTGTTTTTCCCTTGTCTGGGATGCTTTTAGAAAAATACATTGTTACTAATTTTCACTTTATCAATCTGTTAACGTTTATTAATAAATAAGGGGCCAGAAGGACGGTTCTGTGGGTAAAGGTAGTTGCCATGTAATCTTGATAACCTGAGTTAAAGTCAGCCTGGGCTACATAGTAAAACCCTGCTTTAAAAAAGGGGGTGATGGCCGGGCATTGGTGGCACACGCCTTTAATCCCAGCACTCGGGAGGCAGAGGCAGGCAGATCTCTGTGAGTTCGAGGCTAGCCTGGTCTACAGAGCAAGTTCCAGGACAGCCTCCAAAGCCACAGAGAAACCCTGTCTCAAAAAAAAAAAAAAAAAGATAAAAGGGGTGATGCGGGGCTGGAGGGTGGTGAGGAGGTAGTTACAGCACTGGCACCCTCTTGGAGACTCACAACCATCTATAACTGCAGGTCCAGGGCATTTTTCAGTCTTCTGGCTTCTGCAGGCACCAGACATAAGCCGGGTGGGTCCTCCTGACTGCAGCCCCAGCCTCTGGCCGCACAGGTGGGGACTAACTCACTCCCGAAGCCCCAGGATGTGGCCCATAACCGGTGGGTACTCCCGCCTTTGTAGTTGGACTTCTGTCCTCCCCTCGAATCCCCACTTCCTGGAGACATCTCCCATCTCCCTGGTCACGCTCGCTTTGGAGTCCACCACCCCGGTCATTTCCCAAACCCGTCTCTCGCCCAGGCTGGTGAATGAGTGCTTAGCTGAAGAGCTCCCGTGCATCCATGCCTTTGAGCAGAAAACCCTGACACCAGAGCAGTGGACCCGAGAGTGGCGGAAATGAGGGGCCTGAACAGCCATTAAATTGTAAATCGGGACCAGCTGTATCAGTAGCCCCTTGTATGGTGGAGGGACTCTGAGGTAACTTGGCTTTTCCTGCCTCCCCTCCAACCACTGGTTTTAGTACATCTGGATGGATTCCTCTACCTACCTAGGTCTTTTAGGTTCCAACTTAAAAATAATGAAAACTCTGGCCTAAGTCCCTGCTAAGGTTGCTTGCAAACCTTCTCTGTGTGCTCCTTGCCTATGCTGCTACCACCCTCGCAGCCCCCCGATGGCATCCAGCCTCTCGAAGGGAGGTATCGCTCAGGGTTTCAGACACCAAACAGCTGTGCACACCTCTCCCTGGTCTCAGCATGTTACCAGACAGGACAGACTTCTGGCAAGGCCCAGAGGCCTCACAGGATGCCGTGTCCAGTTGTGCCCCTCACCTGGAATGCTGTTTGCTGGTCGGTGAAAGCCAACCCAGTGGAGATCAGATCTCCATATGCTTAGGTCTGATGTGACCACAGTTGCCCCTGGGTAGGACCATGGGCTTCTGGGTCACAGGGGATGTGAACATTTGGGGTGGCTTCCCCAGGGAAGATACTGCCAAATAAGTGTTCATCCCCAAAAGGGCACCAAGGACAGTAAAGAAGCAGCTAGGGGACTACCTGGAGCTTAGGTGACCAGGCAGCCAGTGCCTGGAGCACTCACGGGTGCAGCTGCCAGTCCCCACTGCCAGTCCCCCGTCCCCATCCCCCGTCCCCGTCCCCCGTCCCAGTCCCCGTCCCCGTCCCCGTGTCCCCCCCCCCCCCCCGCAGTTGGTCCTGTGTATACAGCCTCATGGAGGCCTTGCGCCATGCAGGGTTTAAGTGTCCCGCACCTGTAAGCTTCGTGAAGGCTCTGAGCCTTACGGTCTTCACCTTTCTCTGCAGAAGGGAGAGACACGCTCTCATTTAGCCCAGACTGGCCTCAGAGTTGCTCTGTAGTTGAGGGTGACTTTGAACTGTGGATCCTCCTGCCCTGATATTCCAAGCGCTACAATTATGGATATGAAACCCCACGTCCAGCTTCATTGTTTTTTTGTTTTCAGGTTAGTATACAAGTCATAAATTTTGTTTTTTGTTTTTTTTGTTTGTTTGTTTGTTTTTTGAGACAGGATTTCTCAGTTTAACAGTACTGGCTGTCCTGGAACTTGCTATGTAGACCACCACCACCCAGCTGCATTTCCTTTTATTTAAATATTTATTTTTACTATTTTTAATTATGTGTAGGTGCATATGTCTGCATTTGGGCATTGAACTTGAGTGCAGGAGTCTGTGGAGGCCACATGTATCTGATCCCTGGAGCTAAACTCACAGACAGTCTGAGCCCTGATGTGGGTGATGGGAACTGAACTCAAGTCTTTTAGAAGAACAGCAAGAGCTCTTGACCACTGAATTGTCTCCCTAACCCTTCTTTTTCTTTTAAAGAATTATATTTTTGCCCGGCAGTAGTGGTACACGCCTTTAATCCCAGCATTCGGGAGACAGAGGCAGGGAATCTCTGAGTTGGAGGCCAGCCTGGTCTACAAAGCATGTTCCAGGACAGCCAGGACTGTTTCACAGAGAAACTCTGTCTCAAAAAAATGTATTATTATTTTTTTTTACCTTCCCTCCTCCCCTCTCCCCTTCAGCCCTTCCCCATACTTCCTATGCTCCCATTTTACTCAGGAGATCTTGTATTTTTTCCCATTCCTAGGCAGATCCATGTATGTCTCTCTTGGGGTCCTCTTTGTTACTTAGGTTCTCTAGGGTTGTGGACTGTATGATGATTATCCTTTTCTTTATGTCTAATATCCAATTATGAGTGAGTACATATTATATGTGTCTTTCTGGTCAGGTTACCTCATCCAGGATGTTTTTTCTAATTCTGTCCATTTGCCTGCAAATTTCAAGATGTCATTGTTTTTTTACTGCTGAATAGTACTCCATTGGCAAATGTACCACATTTTCTGTATTTTGTTATTATTTTATTGTTTTTAAGAGTTTTATTTACTTATGTATTTGAGTGTTTTGTTTCCACCAGATCTCATTATAGGTGGTGTGAGCCACCACGTGGTTGCTGGGCATTGAACCTCTGGAGAGAACAGCCAGTGCTCTTAACCCCACTAAGATTTTTATTATTTTTAATTATGTGTGTGTGGTAGGGTATGTGCCTGTGAGTGCAGGTGGCTGTGAGGGCCAGAGGCGTCTGTTCTCTGGAGTCAGTGTCACAGACTGTTGTGAGGTGCTCAGCATGGATACTGGACAGAAATCAGGCCCTTGACTAGAGCAGGAAGTACTCCTAATTGCTAAGTCATCTCTCCAGTTGATGGGACCTGGGATTTATTTGGGTTTAGAGTTTACTATCTAGTGATTCCCCTCTCTACTTTTTTTTGGATTTGTTTGGTTTGGTTTCGTCTTTTTTTTTTTTTTTTTTACTCAGGGTTTGTCTGTGTAGCTCCAGCTGTCCTAGAACTGACTCTGTAGACCAGGCTGGCTCAGAGATCACCTGCCTCTGCCTCCCGAGTGCTGGGATTAGGTGGCACACACCTTTAATCCCAGCACTCGGGAGGCAGAGGCAGGTGGATCTCTGTGAGTTCAAGGCCGGGCTCGACTGACAGCCTCCAAAACAATACAGAGGAACCCTGTCTCGTAAAACCAAAAAAAAAAAAAAAAAAAAAAAAAGAAAAGAAAAGAAAAAAAGTGTGTGCTAGCATCACCTAACCCTGCCTCCATATTTGTCTAAAGCAGCAGTTCTCAACCTGTGGGTCATGACCCTTACACCGGGGCCACATATCAGGTAGCTTGCACACCAGATATTTGTATTATGATTCATAACAGTCACAAAACTACAGTTATGAAAGCAACAAAATAATTTTATCGGGGCTGGGGGGAGGGAGTCATCACCACATGAGGAACTGTATTAAAGGGTTTCAGCATGAGGAAATTCTGTGAGCCCCTTCTATAGCAGGGATTGGGTCTCTGTCTCTATATTTGTTGATTGGTGGTAGTCAGAATGGGCACCCCAACCTCCTCCACCTGTGGTGTGACAGGTACAGAGAGACCCATCACATACAGGGGAAATGGGCTGGGTTTCAGAGAGAATCTCGGCTGGGGGAGAATCATAAGGCAGTGGACACCTACTGCATGGTGATAAGGGAGAAAGCCAACAAAAGCATAAATGGATATTAGGTCCCCCTTTACCCATCCTAGGGCCCACAACCTCATGGAGCCCAGAAAAGGGAAAGCTGGCTGGCTGGCCTATATCAGCCTGCTGGGGGCCGGGGTGCAGAATTCATACCCGATCACAAAAACCTCTTGGGGAAAGACACCAGCAGGTTTTTGTGATCGAGTATGAATGAATTCTGCGACACCGCCCCCCAGCAGGTGTCACACCCCCCTCCCACCAGGTGGGGTAAAGGGGACAGGACTGGCCAGCTGCTCTCCTGCCACTTCTTTGTCTTTGGCTTCTTCCAGGTGCGGTTGAGACAGCCCTGCACGTGACCCTAGCTGGACTTAACCTTCTGTGGATGACCACACCCTGGCAGCTTTATTCCTCCTCCTTTTCCTTCATTTTGATACAGGGTGTGGTGAGTCAAAGCTGGCCTGGAATTTGCTATGTAGTGGAGGAGAATGACCTTGGATATATGTATGGTTCTCCTGTGTCTCCCCTGAAAGTGCTGGGATTACAACTGTGTACTTATTTTTAATCAGGCTACCACTGTGGAGCCCTTGCTGGCCTGGAACCCCTTATGTTTTCTCAGAGATGTCCCTGACTCAGCCTCCCTAGTGCTGGGAGTAAAGGCATGTGCTACCACACCTCACCTTCTGTATTGTTTTAGAGCATTTAGGTTGTCCTTAAATTCTCAATCCTATGCCTATGACAATATTCAAACAAAAACAAACAAGAAAAACAACTTTTTTTCCTTTTTGGTGTTATCTCATTAAGACCTAACAAGCTAGCCAAACATTGTAACATTGAACTAAATCCCAGTCTTTTTAAATTAAAGTTTTTTCTTTGTTGGACTTAATTCTTACAGCTTAGGTTTTTCTCTTGACTTGTAAGAGGGGGCAGGTTGAAGACATCCTCATTATTCCCAAGGACTTGTTATGGTAGTGTCAACGGTTCTCTGGAGTGATTAGTCATATTGTCATTCAGACTCGCCAGCAAAAGATGAGGTCACAGCCTGCCATCTTCTCAGCATAGTGGACATCAAAACACTCATTCTGAGCCACAGTGAAGGTGTTTTTTCAGTCCCGAGCAATGCCTGGGAGGGACAGGGGAAGATGGCATGACAATCGCCAAGGGGGCCTAAGTGGCTGTGGTAGCTTTCCTATCTCCCTAAATACCCACCTTTCCTCGTGAAGGGGAAATAGAGTGGTCCATGTGGTGAGAGGGGAGGGTGGTGCAGTTAGCCAAAGGGTTCTCCTTCATCTTCTTGAAGGATGTATGCTGAACAATGATATCCACAATCTCCTCAGGCAGAGAGCGTCCCAAAAACTCTAGGATCTTCTTGATCTCCCTTTTGGGGTTCTGGAGCATAGAGATGATCTCTGGATGCTCATTGGGATAAGGTTGGGGGATCACCCACAGGGAGCGGGCCACTTCACCAAGGAATTTTCAGACCTGATGCCTTGACTCTGAGCCTCTTACCCTGATGCAAAATAGGTAGTTTCCTACCCTGCCATCTTGGCGTGATCCCAGTGGGTTTGTTCTGGGAGAGGACAGGGACAGACTTTGGTCCCTGGTACCCTGACTTGGCACCTCTGCAGCATGGAGAAGCCAGAGCAACAAGCCACCAGATCAGTATTGGCACATGACTGGCGCTGCTCCAAGATAAGAGCCGTGCAATGCTGAACTGTGCTAAAGTCCTGAGCCAGGAGGTGATGGGAGGTGCTGGTCTGGGGTGGGGCTGGGGTGGGGCTGGGCTCAGGGCCAGGCGAGTGAGGTCCCTGCCTGTGTGACACAGGAGGAGTGGTAGCAGGCGGCCTCACCTCCTTCATGTCTTCATAGAAGAGATAGAGAACAGGGTGAGTGTGTGTCAGTTCCCACCACTCCTTCACGTGCTGGAACCACGACCCATAGGACACTGGGGAAGAGGACGGCACCGGCACAGGCCTTGTTAGCGCCAGCTGTGCCCCTCAGCTCCAGCCCCTCCTTTACAGACCCAGATTCACCTTTCCCTTCCATGAAGTTCTTCAGGAAGCTGTCCCAGGTGCCAGGCTCAGGGTGCACCTTGGCCATGTTGTAGAAGTTATAATAGGAGACGGCCACATCCTTTGCGTTTCTGGTGACGTAGATCACCTGCAGGGGCAGACAATCTCATCCCCTCAGTACCAATCCTCACACACCAAACCGCATCCCAATTCTTGGTACCTATATATATGGCTGGAAAGGGACTGTTTTTGGGGGGCTTTGTTTTATTGTTTTGTTTGTGGAGGGACACGGTCCTGGCTGTCCTGGAATTCACTATGTAGAGCAAGCTGGGCTTGAACTCATAGAGTTCTACCTGTCTCTGACTTCCTAATGCTGGGATTAAGCACATGTGCCACCATGTCTGGCTGTAGTTTTGTTTGGGAGTCAGGGGCAGGGTCTTTCTATGTAGCCATGGCTGACCTGGAACTCACAATGTAGACCAAGCTGGCCTCAAATTCATGAAGACCTATCTGCTTCCCCAGTGCTGAGATTAAAGGCATGTGACACCATGCCTGGCCCATCCTGCATTCTTGTCACAGCAACCAGTGGGAGAATTGTCTCCTGAGGTGCCAGGGGAGAAACAGGCTTGCTGTTGCAACCTTGTGGTATGGGTACCACTGAGCTGTATTTATACAGCGCTTGTTCCTGGCATGGGTTGGATACGGAGCACCCCCAAAGCATTCTTGTGGAAGGCACGGCTCTGGGCAGCACCACTGTGACTTGACTGACCTAATGTAGGGATTGATTCACTCAGGATTTATGTTTGGATGGCATTTTGGGGAAGTGGCATATGTGTGGAGGTGGGGCCTGGCTGAAGAATTGTACAGCGCCCGATGGCATTGTTGTTCCTTACTGCTCCTCCGTGAGCTTCCATCGTGATACCCTGCCTCACCAAAACCCAGAAAAAAGATACACTGTGTCCTGAAGCCATGAGTCAGGAGAGACCTGGAGTTCTATGTCATTCACAGCGAGGATAAACAAACTAACACAAAGTTTAGTCAGGTTGGTCTCCTGAGGGCCACACACCTACACTCTCTCCCACGTCCTGTGAGCTCCTTGTTCTGCGGCTCCCCTTCTCTTAGATCCACACTGTGAACCCCACAACTGACAGGAAGATGGCCTCTCACTGAAACAGCTGAGACCTTGGCAGCTCCGGACTGTCCAACGATGCCCTGGCTTCTCACCTTGACCTTCTGCTCCAGCAAGCTCTGGGAGCCCAGGGCAAGCGTGTCTTGAGGAGCAGGGGGCTGGGGGCTTTACAGAGCTTCCAGACCTAAGCACGTGAAGGGCTGCTGATCAGGACCTGGTCCTCTTTCCCTCGACTTCATTTCCCCAGGGTTCCCTTACACACCTGAGGGACACCGGGCTTTGGAACTCTAGGAGGGGCACCCGGATATAGATGGGGGCCTGGTGACATTTCTCTGGATTAACATCCTGATGGACCATGTCAAGTATCTCACTGACCCAGGTGGTGCCTGGAAAGGAAGAACTGGAGAGTGAGCCGGGCTGATTATAGGGCTCTACTGGCTTACTGGACTTGGGGTACACGCTGATGATCAGGTCATCGGGAAAGGCTTCAAAGTGCTGCAGTTCAGCGGCCATCGGGGATGCCCTTCGGATACTGTGGCAGGTGGTTGGGGACGGGGACCCTGCGCCAGCTCCCTGGTGCTGAAACAGCCATCCCACTTCCCATAGTGGCATAGCACTACCACGTGAGCACCTTCGCCTTGGATAAAGAGCAGGAGGCTTGGGGAGTTGGGCCCTCTACTGGAGCTCAGAGCCAGCGAGTGGTAGGACTGGCTGGAAGGCGGGTCTAACTTTAGGGTAGCGATCACCACTCTGGCTGTACAGCAGTTCACCTGGGGAACATTCCATGAGTTCAGTACCCCACTGGTGGCCAGACCGTTAAAGAACTCTTGGGGGTAGAGCTCGGATGCAAAGTTTGGCAGCTTCCCAGGAGATGCCACACTGTACCAGAGAGGGTCCCCTGGCTCCTGTCCATGCTCACAGCCAGCTTCGTTTCTCCAGCTACCTCCCGCTGCGGCTGTCCGTCTATAACCGGCCTCTGTGACCCCCGCCACTGTGTCCCTCCTTGAGCTTTTCAGGTAGCCACTTAAGGCAGCCACTCGGGGTGTGCACTTCTTAAATCTCAACCCATTTTCAGCTCGGCACTAGGACAAACAAGGCGAGGTGAGGCCTGAGCTTGTTTGGGGGTCAGAGGTTCTGTGTGCATGAGCAGACCCGCTGGTCAGCTGCAGTTGCCCCACTGAGATGGGGTAAGCATGGAGAAAGAGCACAGAAGAGGAAAGTCCAGCGTGCGTGCAGATAGGACCTGCCCACACAATCAGAGCAAGCCTCCTGTGGAGCGTGCTGGAGGGCGAGGCCGTCCTCCCAGCTCACCTGATGTAGGAGGATCTGCCCTGTGGCCTCCTGGGCACACAGCTTACTGTGTGTGCAGACTGGGGAGTACAGGCTCTTTGGGCTGGGTGTTTTATAGGTCCTAAGTGGAGAGGCTTGGAACCAGCCCTAGAACTGGCTGTTTCCTTGAAAGGGTGGGGTAGGGGAAGCTTTATTTACATGCTAAGACTTCATGAAGGAAGTAGGGGTTGAAGATGGGGTGTTCTGTTACCCTCTATAGAACCCCAGCTAGAACTAAGCTAATTGTATCTGCAAACCAAAACCTGACTGGCCCTGAACTACAAAATGAAAGGACAGCCAGTGGAGAATGCACCCATGGGTGGACTGTTTTGTTTTCCCAACAGTGATCTCCACCTGGGTTGGCTCTGGAAATTCCACCCCTGCAGGATGGGTCTTTTTTCTAATACACCAGGTCAAGGGAGAGAATGACGGCACAAGATGGGCGGGGCTAGCTTCCTTTCAGTTGGCTGCAGACCAACAGTGGGGAAAACAGAGCTGAGATAGAGCTCCCTGGTTTGTGAGAACTTGAAAGTAGAGTGATTGATTGGGTGTACCCTGTGTAGGGCCCAAAGGTGGGTCAGGGCAGGGGAAGCTGTGGAAAGGCAGGCGTCCTAGGAGATGCTTCATTTGAATGGTGGTTAGTGGGGCTGTCCTGAAGCCCTAGGAGGGACCCCTACCTCGTGATTCCTGCGAAGAGAGCCAGAGAACAACGTGTGGGTGGCTACAGCGCTCTGTGGAGAGCAGGCAGCCCTAGTCTCAGGGTTCATAAATAAAACTGGCCTGGCAGAAATCCTAAGTAGACTCTTGTGTCTCTCAAACTGACTATCAGACTGTTGAAGCAATGCATTCTAAAGAAATAGGAATTTCCTCCAGGAATGTCATGCTGGGGACAAAAAGAAATGACCCCAGCTAGAGGGGCAGGTGTCTCCCTGAAAGAGCTCTCACACAGTTCAACAACATACCCAGTCACCTTACAGGATGAGATGGAAGCCCGGATGGTGTCGACCACACCGTGACAGGGACTGCTTCGATGTGCATCTCCTTGGACCTCTGTCTAAACTATGATCTCACTGAAGGGCCTTGAAGACACACCCAGGGGGGTTTGCTGGGCCTCTTTATCCCTCTTCCCAGTATGGCCACACTGAATAAGTTTCCTTTTTCTGCTTTGAACTTTGAATTTGGTTCTTTTAATAGGCTTGTTGAGGATGGGTGGTCAGGCTGACTTGGTATAGATTGTGACTCACGAGTTCAGTAACATCTAGATTAAGATCTAGCAGCAAGCCTGGCCCTGGAGGCCTGTGGGGCTCTGCGAACAGAGCGGTGTTGGCAGGGTAACACTGAGTGAGTCGAGAAGGAAATACCGTTCAGCAGGACTCAGCAGCCAGTGTTGGTTCAAACTTCTAGAGTCAGGCACTGCTTATTTAAGTACAGTACAATTTTGGAGAGAGTTTCCTAATGTAACGCGATTCCCACATGCACAAGGAGACGTTATTACATTGAAACTCTTCTCAATACATGTCACTCCTTCCATGAAGGTGGGTTCTAGGGATAGGCTACCTGTGTTGTCTTAAGGGCCTAGGGAAGGATCCAGTGTGGTCTTGGTCATACAGTTAGTATAGAGGTCATCTGGGCTATGAGCCACCTCTAGTCCTGGTTATGGGAGAGTCAGGGGACCAGGGATGGAGTGATCTACAGGTAGCCCAGGGGCTACCCAGGCTGTTAGCCACCTCCGTTCCCAGCCTTCTAGGCAGAAAACATACATCTTTTCCCTTGAAAAGACAACTTTGGGTGTTTAATATTCCTGGTTTCCCTGGTGCTTTCTGTGAGCACAAGGACCTTTGTGCTCCCAACAGAGACACGCAGACTCCAAGTCACAGGTGCTGGTCTCCTGAGCTTTTAATTATTCTATTTAGCTTCAGCTCTAGGCTTTACACAGTCCAGCTTTATCTGAGGGATCCTCAATGGGGGACTGCCTCAGCCAGATGAGCCCACGGGCATGTCTGTGGGGACATTTTCTTGATTGTTGATTGATGTGAGGGCCCAGCCCACTGTGGACTAGGCAGGCAGCCCTGGGTTGTGTACAGAAGACACTAACTGTCACCTCGGAGAAAGGCAAGGGAGTAGCAAGGTCACGTGGTCAGGCCCAAAGCCTCAGTCACTTCACCCCTTCCTGCCCTTCTCTGAGAAGACACCAAAAGTTACCCTTAACTCAGTTATTATTTTATTTAAAGATTTATTTATTTATAATGTATACAGTGTTCTGCCTGCATGTTGCCTACAGGCCAGAAGAGGGCACCAGATCTCATTACAGATGGCTGTGTGCAACCACATGGTTGCTGGGAATTGAACTCAGGACCTCTGGGAGAGCAGCCAGTGCTCCTAACCTCTGAGCCATCTCTCTAGCCCTTAACTCAGCTTTTTGTGTGTGTGTTCAAGTAAAAGCTGCCAAGCACTGAAGAGAGGGGCGGAAAAGGAACAGGGTTCAGTTTGGGACACCTAGGATCAGGCCTCCAGCAAGTCTGTCCAGTGTTCCTGTAAAGGACAAAAGGGTGGGTCAGAGGTCGTCTAGGACGGCTGGGGGAGAGTGGGGTCAGAGTCACCTCTCACCTCCTCCAATTCCAAGTCCTCTTCCTCCTCGGCGTCCACGTGACACTGCCCAATCAGACTTCCCCAGAGCAGAGACTTCTTACAGCTGCCAAAGGGAGCAGTTGGTGGAAACAGGCATCCCCAGGCCCCTCCACGCAGGCCCTGAGTATCAAGATGAGACCTGGACTCACCTAGGACAATGGCCTTCTAGAGGCAGAAGCTGCCCAGGCTCTTCCCGCAGGAACTCCTCTGCCAGGCAGATGATATGCGCCTTTAGGGGACAACCGGGGTGGGGGCAGCACAGGGGGCCCTCTTCATCCTGTCAGAGGTGGCAGGTAAGGAGATGCAGAAGTTAACCGGAAGTAACCGAGAGCAACCCACAGCTTGCGAGACAAGAGACATAAAACGCAGACACGAGAGCTATGACTTCAGAAGACCAGGAAAGATCTACACCGCGGCCGGTTGCCCCCATTCAGAGGATCCGACGGCCCTGGCAGGTATAGGCCAGGAAAGAGCTCAAAGTACCATCGCCCTCATTAGACTGTGTCAGGGTGGGCGAAGTCCGGGGCCTTAGCCCCTATGTGGCCCCTACCTGCAGCGTGCGCGCACACAACATGCAGCAAGCTTTGGCACCTAGATCCCGCTGGGGCTTGCCGTCAGTCTCGCTTGCAGTGAGCTGCTTAGGTTCCAAGGGCTGGGGTGGTGGCCCGAAGGCAATGGGCATGTGTAGTGGTGGCGCTGGAGAAAGTTCATGGCGGAAGTCAGGTCTCAGCCAGCGCAGCGTTAGAGGGAGGCGCACCCACGGAGGAGCTCGGAGCATGTGCGCCAGCACGCGCAGGTGGAAGGCAAAGGAAGCCTCGCTGCGCAGGCGCGGCCCCACGTGCGTCAGGCGGCGTGAGGCTTGAGGGTGCTGCCAGGCCCATTCAAACTATAGGAGGGGACACGGATGACAAGTCAGGATGGCGCTGGGCAAGGTCCTCGGCAAACTCTGCGGCCCCAACTAGCCCGCCCTTAAGACACCTTCTTACCCGCAGGGCGGCCACAGCAGATGGAAAACCGTGCAGGATCAACACCATGTCCCTTGGGAGGAGAGGGCACAGCCAGTGAGTTCCCACCCCACCTCGACCCCGTTAGAAGCTGAATCCCACCTCCAGGCCTGTGTTCCGGTTCACAGCGAGAGCCCAGTCACACCACTTCATACCTGGCCATTAGGACTTACTGTGGCGATGGAAGACCCCCGTACCTGCCAACCTCAGGCTCCTTACCCGGTCCTTCCTCTTTGTAAGTAGTATTCTAGCCCCAGCCTTGCTGACCAGGGCCCCTGTCTCCTGATCCCAGGCTTTAAAACAATTTTCACTGGTATATTAACTGTGCAAAATAGTAGTTGCATCAACATTGTCCCTCTTATGTAATGTATTTTGTCATTGCTTACAACACTTCCCTCATTTTTTTGGCCTTCTTCCTCATTCCAAATAGTTCCCTTCCTATATAACCTTTCTTTAAATTCTGAATGAGAGAAAACTTGAGATATTTGTTATATAACTTAACATGATAATGTCCAATTCCATCCACATTCTCACAAGGGGTATAATTTCATTCATTATTATGGCTGAGTCAAATCGCATTTTGGGAGTGGAGTGGTGGTTCGGTTAGGCGCACTTGCTCTTGCGGAGGATCTGGGCTCAGAACTGTCTGTAGCTGGGCGTTGGTGGTACACGCCTTTAATCGCAGCACTCGGGAGTCAGAGGCAGGCGGATCTCTGTGAGTTTGAGGCCAGCCTGGTCTACAGAGCGAGTTCCAGGACAGCCTCCAAAACAATACAGAGAAATCCTCTTTGGAAAAACAAAACAAAACAAAAAAACAAAACCCCACAAAACTGTAACTCCCATTCCAGGAGGTCTGGCGCCCTCTTCTGACTTCTGCGGGCACTGCATGAACATGATGCACTTAGATTTAGGCAAAACACTCATATGAATAAAAAAAAGCCAAAAACCGGTTTTTAAAAACTACATCTTTAATCCCAGCACTTTAATTCCACGCCTTTAATTCCAGCATTCGGAAGGCACAGGCAAGTGGATCTCTGTAAGTTCGAGGTCAACCTGGTCTACCGAGAACCCTGACTCGAAAAACCGAGAAAACAAAATTTATATCCAGTATATGCCATATTTTCTTCATCCACTCACCTGTTTATGGACACTGTGCTGAATAGTTTTATGTCAACTTGACACAAGGTATAGTCATCAGAGTAGAGGAAGCCTCAATTGAGAAAATTCCTCCTTAAGATCGGTCTGTATGGACGCCTACGGAGCATTTTCTTAATTAGTGATTGATGTGGGAGGGCCCAGGCCTTTGTGAGTGGTGCAACCCCTGGGCTGGTGGTCCTCGGTCCATGGCCTCTGCACCAGATCTTTCTTATTTGAGCTCCTGTCCTGAATTTCTCCATTGATGAACAGCGATGTGGAAGAGTAAGCCAAATAAATGCTTTCCTCCCCAATGAGCTTTTCGGTCACGGTGTTTCGTCACAGAAACAGAAACCCTAAGGAGAGCACTTAGGCTGATTCCATAACTTAGCTTTTGTATTTAATCCTTTCTTAGACTTATTTTATTATTTTATATGTATGAGTGTTTTTCCCTGTATGCCTGTATTTTCGTATGTTTTTGCCTGTATTTATGTATGTGCACCACGTGCGTGCCTGGTGGGCGAAGAGGTCAGAAGAGGGCGTTCCATACCCTGGTACAGGAGTTACAGATCAGCCCTTAGCTGGTGACCCTGTTCCCCAATTAACCATCCCAAATCTGAATCCAGCCTTCGCAGAGTCCACAGGTGCCGCCTTCCCGTCACTCTCGCCCGGGTGACAGGCCGGGAACTCGGCACCGCCCGCGACCACAAACTTGGCCCCGCCTCTGTCTTTGGGCTTCAGTCCTGGCGCCCGCCTCCTAACCGGAGCCTTCCGGCAGGACACCGGCGCGCTCTTACCAGGGTCCTCGCCCGCTGGTCCGCCAGGCGCCACCTTTTTTGCGACCGGCGTTGTGTTGACGGACCCGACGAGCAGGATTGACAGTGAATCCCACGTAAACGCGGCCCCGATGCCGAGGGTTCTGGCAGTAGAGCAGGTAGACACCGAAGAAGCGCTCCGGTCTGGCTGTATGACCCATCCGGACTTTCTGGGTTGGAGGACTGAAATGAGGGTGGTTTCTGGGACCTCGAACCCCGGAAAAGGCTGGGTAGCCAGGGCTGCAAAACGTTTGTTTAGGAAAAAGCACTCGAGAATGATCGTGCAGAGCCTGGGAAACCCGGCTGCTCGGCTTGGTGCGCCGCCTGCTGGCAGGAGGAGGGCGAGCAAACGCGGCCGCTCCGCCCTCCAGTCCGGCCTGGGTTGGCTAACTGCTGGGGCGGAACCTCCCTAGTGCTGCAAATTCAGCTGTGCCAGGAGCCGGAAGTGCTGCCTCGGAGACCGCCCCAGGAAGGGCGGAAGTAAGCGACGTGAAGGAAGTGGCTACAGTGAGGGCGGAAGGTGGGGTGGGGGGGGACCCGAGGCGAGGTTCTGGTCACGCCGGCCTGTGGCCCCGGTCGGGCTTTGGCCATGGAACTCAGCGCCGACTATCTCCGCGAGAAGCTGCGGCGGGACCTGGAGGCAGAGCATGTGGTGAGTGCGGGGCCGGGGCCTCGGGCGGCGGGAAAGGGCTCCCGGGCGAGCGCCCCATCGTCTGGGTCTTCTGCCGGCTAGGAGGTGGAGGACACGACTCTCAACCGTTGCGCGACCAGCTTCCGAGTCCTGGTGGTGTCGGCTAAGTTCGAGGGAAAGCCACTGCTCCAGAGACACCGGTGAGCCCCGGGAGCCCCTCACCCAGCACGGCTTCGGGCTCGGGGCTGCAGTCCACCCGGGTGGGGACTAACTCACTCCCGAAGCCCCAGGATGTGGCCCATAACCGGTGGGTGCTCCCGCTTTTGTGGTTGGACTTCTGTCCTCCCCTCGAATCCCCACTTCCTGGAGACATCTCCCATCTCCCTGGTCACGCTCGCTTTGGAGTCCACCACCCCGGTCATTTCCCAATCCTGTCTCTCGCCCAGGCTGGTGAATGAGTGCTTAGCTGAAGAGCTCCCGCGCATCCATGCCTTTGAGCAGAAAACCCTGACACCAGAGCAGTGGACCCGAGAGCGGCGGAAATGAGGGGCCTGAACAGCCATTAAATTGTAAATCGGGACCAGCTGGTGTCAGTGTGCTGTTTGATGGCCCTGAGGCTGAGTCAGGGACTTGGCTTTCCCCTGCCTCTCCTCCAGCCATTGTTTTGGCATTGTCTCTGCCAAGGGTGCCTTGTAAGCCTTCTGTTTGCCCCCCTCCTCGTGGTCTCTGTACTGTCACCAAGGTCAGCCCTCAAAAAGCAGGGTGTTCCTGCTCTGCCAGCCCTCCAGGACCAGAAACCCTGAGTCTTTTCCTACCGTCTCCCTCTCTCCAGGGGACAAGATAGATGCACATGTTGTTGGTCTCTTTTCAGACCTCAGGGGACATGACATTCAGTACCATTCCTCCACGTCTAATCCCTCTCCTCTGTGTGATCTTTGGTTTTGTCTCGTTTTATCTTTTAGACAGGCTCTCAATGTATTTTCCAGGCTGTTGTTAAATTCATGAGCTCAGATGGTCTTCTTGTCTTCCAAGCAGCTCTGACTGCAGATGTCAATCCCCACTCTCGGTCCTCATATTGTCAGAGCCTGACACTTGGCAGTTATTTCCCTCGTTCTTCCATCAAGAGACTGGTCTAGCTGGAGTCACAGTAGTCACTGGTCGGCCCTCTCCATCCCCAGGGTCATTTCCTGAGCATTTTAGTTCTTCTGGAGAAGTAGTGATTCAGTCTACACGCAAGGATCCCAAAAGAAGACTCAAGAAAGATGCAGAGGGTAGCCTGGCCTGCATCTCTATAGGAGTAACCCCTTCATTCCTCAGTGATGGCCCTCCAGTTTATAGGGGAGATCACATGTCCTGTCAGAGGGTGGAGCACCACTGGACAGGCAGGCCTGTTTGTGTGCCGTTCTCTATGTCCAGATAACTGCATGGTTGCTAAAGGCTGGGGATGGCGTCCTGGGTATTCTCTGAACTGTATGGACTCGGTCCTGGGATGGCCATGGCACCCTCCCGAGCCCCTCTATATCATCCTAGCTCTGGAGTCTCCCATCAGTTAGGCACCAGAAGTTACTCCCAATCTGAGAATTAGCTAGTTGGCAGGGTGCTTGCCTAGCAGGCATGAAGCCCTAAGTTCAATTCTCAGGACCACATGACCCAGGCATCATGAGGCACTCCTAGAATAGCACTTGAGAGGTAGAGGCAGAAGTGTGAGGAGTTCAAGACCATCTTAGGCTATGTGAGACAGTCACAAAACACACAGAAACACGTTACTCCTATAGACAGGGTTTAAGAGATCTGTTCTTTCCTGTTTTCCTCAGACTCCAGGTGCTGTGAAACCCACAGGAAATGCTCCGAGGCAGCAGAAGGCTAGGAATGCAAGGGGGTTGCTTAAACCATACCTCCAGAACCGCCCCCCTGCCCACTATTGCCCTGCTATGTGCTTCAGTCCTGAGTCAGGCTGTTTCCTGGTTTCTAAGCTTTGCCCTTATGGGACTTTGTTTTGTCAAGTTGTTTTTGTTTGAGACAGGTCTTTCTATGCAGCCTAGGCTGTCCTGGAACTTAAGAGATCTGCCCGCCTCTGCTTCCACAGTGCTAGGGCTAAAGGCATGCGCCACACCTGGCTTATTTGTTTTGTGCAAGCTTATTTGCTAGCTGAGGTGTCAAGTTTCCTGAAGCTGGAGTTGCAGTTGGTTGTGGGCCGCCTGATGTGAGTGTTGGGATCCGAACTCTGGTCCTCTGAAAGGGCAGCAAGTGTCTCCGCGCAAGCTTTGTTTTCACTTATGTGTGTGTATGTGAATGGATGTGCATGTTGGTGTACATGAGCATGCATGTGTATATGCCTGTACACATGAGTGGAGCCCTGAAGAGGCTGTCAGATGTCTTTTTACTTATCCCACTGAGGCTGTCTCCCTGAACCTGTTAAGCTAGAAGGCAGCCAGCCCCACAGTCCTATTTCTGTCCATGTCAGAGCTGGATTTACAGGTTTGCAAGTACATCCATCTTGTTATGTGGATGCTGGGATCTGACTTCCAGTGCTCATGACTGCAGAGCAAACTATACCACTAAGTCATCTTTCCGGCCTCCTTTTTTTTTTTTTTCTTTTTTTCTGTTTGTTGTTGTTTATCTTATTACAGTTGTTTTTGAGACAGGCTCTCTCTCTTAGGCTGTCTTTGAACTTCTGATCCTCCTGCCATCACCTCTCAAGTACTGAGATTACAGGCCTGGGCTACCACACCTGGTTTATGCAGTGCTGGGGATCAAACCCAGGGCCTGGTGCATGCTGCTAACCAGACTACTTTGGAGGCTGTCCTGGAACTCGATCTGTAGACCAGGCTGGCCTGGAACTCACAGAGATCCTTCTGCCTCTGCCTCCCAAGTGCTGGGATTAAAGGCATGCACCACCAATGCCCGGCTTGGTTTGGTTTTTTGAGTCACTCTATAGCCACTCTCAATGAGTTTCTGGCTCGAAACTGCCAGGAGTCCTGCTCGGTTCCCAAGAGTTTGGATTACAGGTGTGAGTCGTGTCTGACCAGAAGTCTTTTTTTTTGTCTTTGACTCTATGGTTTGAAAATGTCACCATGTGCTTTTTGGTTTTCCCATAAGCACCAGTGTCAATACAGTTGTATGCAGTCTGTGCTTGAGGTGATCAGGAAATGCTAATTTGGGGCCGGGGCTAGGGGTGTAGTTAGAGTGATAGAGAGCTTGCCTCGAATGTGAACGGCTGTGACTTTGGTCCCCAGCACTACCAAAGTAAACACAAGAAAAGCCTTGGATGGATATGGAAATCTTGGGGCCCTAAAATAGGGATTGGATGACTCAGACCCACTTCCAGATGGCGCTAGGAAACAGAACAGTCTCTTGGCTCCATCCCTGGGTAGCTACAGTCCAAGACCCCATTCATTTGCTGCAGTGGATTTAGCAATGGCCCGTGACAAGTGACCCATAGCCTGAATGGGATAGTCAAGGGGAAGCCTTGGGGTTGGTCAGCTCACCAGAGACTGAGAGGTACAGAAAATAAAGCCACTTTATTATTTTCATCTTATTCACCATATGGCCTGAGGGTTAGGGTGGGAGCAGAGTTGAATGGCTGGTCCCACTGAAGGCTCTGGGGTCCTTCACTTGGCCTGAACAGTCTCCTCCAGCCTGTCCATGCGCTTCTGGAGCTCTTGTACTGTGGCCTGCAGATTCCTCATCTCTTCCTCCAGCCGTGACACAGTGTCCTAGGGAAGTCAGTACTGCATTAGGCCCAGCTTCTCTGTAGCGTCCCTTCCTCCAACATGAGCTAACCTTTCTGAGAGCCTCAAGGCTTGGGCCCTTTGGTCCCAGCAGCTGCTACTTGGATTACTGCACTGTAAGCTTGTGACCTGTTTCTAAGGCCTCAGGGTCACCCACTGGTTGTCCTCTAAGAATTTCCTGCCTTAGGAGCTTGGAAATCTGTAAATACCAGACTCTCCCTGAGACCCTGAGCATATCCACACAGCCTTTGCCCTAGTCTCCTGCCCTGCTGCCCCAGCTCCCCACCAGCCTCACCGAGCTAGGAGGGCCGCTGGCCTCTGCTGTGGCTCTCTTGCGCACACTGTCCAGGCCCCTGTTGACTCTCAGCTCGCGACTCTTTGGGGGCACATAGCCATCCTTGAGGGAGATGAGCAGGGGGCCAGCATCCCGACCACCGAGCCACTCCTCAGCTGTGAGGGCAGGGTCAGGTCCTGCAGTGGGTGGATACAGGTCCTCCTGGAACAGGTCCGACTGTGGGCAAGGCCAAGGCTGGTCACGAGAGTGTTTATGTTCCCGCCCCTCCCTACAAGCCCTCATGGTCAGTTCCTGTCCTAGCACCCAGGGAGGAGCATCGGAGCGTCACCTTTCTAGGCACCGTCATAGCAATGGGCTCACATTTCCGCTCATGAAGCTTATAGAATCTGTGGAAACAGGGAGATGAGCAGCACTACACCGCATGAGTGGGTGCTGAAGGTCTGGTCAGAATCTGGAGGTGGGGGTGGGAGTGGTCATTTACCTGGCGATCTCACACTTATTCACTTCCAGGCCACGTTTGGGCATGTAGCCCATACCACGCTGAGACTCCTTGGAGCTGAACATGGAAAGATAGTGCAGGAACGGAGCCTCCGAAGTGATCTCAAAATACCGGATAGAGCTGTCACCCTGTAGGTGGTATGGGCAAGAGTCAGTACCAGCACAGGTCACCAGCCTTTATGCTCACCAAGCCACTTACCCACCTCTCTGCCCCCAGCCCGCCTGAGTACCTTGCCACAGAGGTAGACAATGTTGGTGTCGGGGTCAAAAAAAGGCAGCAGAACGCCACTGCTGGTGTCCAGCTCCTGCAGGGACAGTGGCTCCTCCAGGTGCTTCTGTAGAGACAGGTGGGGTAGCAATAGGCTGGGCCATGTCAGGTCGTCACTGGACAGTAAGCAGGCAAGGGCCCTCAGACTAAGCAGTGGAAACTCCCCACCTCAGTAATAAGACGGAGACTTAGCCTCCAGCCTTGATTCCCAATCTAAAGGATCCGGTCTCTCAGCACTCACTGTGTCCCACAGCGCCACCTGCCGCTCACTCATGCGGCTGAAACCCGTGGTTAGAATCTTTCCTTCCGATACAAACACAGCGTGCACGGGCCGGGTTCCCTCATGAGGACGGTCCTTCTCCTAAGAGGAAGGAAATGTGTTGGGTCAGCTTCTCACAGTCTCATCAAGAGACTAGACCCTAGGCGGGTGCACAGACAGCAACATCCAAGAGCCAAGGTTTAGGGTTCTGGCAACTTACAGCCACAATAGTGCCTTTTCGAGGCTCAATGATGCGAACACGCTTGTCACGGCAGGAAGTACAGATGAGACCACCGTCCCGACTCCAGTCCACACTGTAGATTGTGTCCGGGTGCACATCTGGGCCGAGGGTCAGCACAGCTGCCCCAGTGCCCACATCCCAAACCAGGATCACATTGTCGCAACCTGCACAATTGTTCAGCGTTGAACTATGAGCCTTTGCCCTCTGCCAGGCCCCCGGCCCTCCCCGCCTCACCCGTGCAGCACCTGCGCTGAGCAGTACATTCTGGGCTGTGGGGTGCCATGCAAT